ATTTCAATCCGGAAAAGGCTTGTTTAAAGCATCCAATATAAATTGTAGAAGCGTAAAAAGAAAGGTCGTCGACATTGCTAATTTTATATGGTCTATAGCTATCGAATTTGATGTGCTAGTTTTCTCCGAGACATGGATTACTTATAAAGAAGATGCGCCGTTCTTTCCAGGCTATAGTCATGAACTTCTCGGTCGTAACCAGCAAAAAGGTGGAGATCTTGCTATTTATTTTAAGGATGCGCTTTCGAGTGAACTGCTTGATAAGTATACTGTTATGAACGATGATATTAAATGCATTACAATGTGTGTTGGCCCATTCATAGTAATTGGTGTATATAGGCCACCACATGGCCACAAAAAGAAATTTATTGAGTTTCATAATGTTGTGTTATCAACTGTTCGCGGGAATACTCCTTGCATAGTCATGGGTGACATGAACATTTACCTCTGTTCCAATGATCTTTATGCCAAAGATTTTGAAACGATCTTACTTACATATGGAAGTACAAATATTATACGTTCACCTACTAGGATTACATCAGCAAGTGCTACGCTACTTGATATATGCGCCTCAAATTTAAGTTCACAGAATACAAAATCCGGGGTATTTGCGATTGACATAAGTGATCATACGCCCATCTTCTTTCTTGCACGATTTACTTCTCAAATTGGTCAGAAAACAGAGACATCTTTCCCCCGAATTAAAAACAGCAAAACTCGGGAACATTTTTTCAGCTAGTTCAGAACATAGATTGGAACACTGTTTATAGACAAGAAAATCCTGATGATGCTTTTAACACATTCATGAGGTTATTGAGTGCTAGCTATGATGCGGCATTTCCACTTCAGAAGCGCTCACGTGGCAGAAATAAGAAACGCAGAAAGCCTTGGATAAATCCTGATCTTTACTGGCGCATAAAAATAAAGAATAAATTGTATCATTATTTCATCTGTTCGCAGAACACAGATGCCTTAGCTGAGTACAAGAAATACAGAAACGTTTTAAACTCAGAAATATGGAAGGCTAAACAGAACTACTATGAAAAATTATTTGAAAGCATTTACAATGACTAGAGGAAGCTATGGTAGGTCATAAATGGGCTTACGAACACGATAAAGGATTGTAATAGGACACAGGACCTAACAATTAATGGTCAGATTTTCAGTGGTGAAAGGTTGGCCAATGTTATGAATGAACATTTCATAAATGTGGGTTACTTTATTTTAATGGATGAAAAGGGAGATAATGCTCCAACTCCTGATAAGTATCCTTTGCGTATTCTATTTTTCTCGCGCCCACAGATCCGGTAGAAGTAGAAAGATTAATCAGAAAACTTAAAAACAATGTTGCATCAGGAATTGATGAGAAAGGTTCTGTTGAGTTAAAAATGGTGTCACCATTGATACCTAATGTCTTGGCCTATATTAGCAACCTCACTCTCACTAACGGTGTATTTCCAGAGCAGTTAAAAGTGGCAAAAGTCACTGCAGTACATAAACATGGTGATATCAATACTTTAGCGAACTATCGACCTATATCCGTGCTCCCAACAATATCAAAAATATTTGAAGGGGTTATTTATGATAGACATGCATCCTTTTTTAATAAGCATCAAATAATAACAAAAAGTCAGTATGTTTTTCAAAAAAATAAATCAACAGAACAAGCTCTACTGTATATCAAAGATAAGATAATCAAAAATATGGAAAACAAAAAATATACTCTCGGGCTTTTCCTCGATCTTCAAGAGGCATTTGACTCCATACAATTCAAATCAATGATTCACAAATTATTAAGTTATGACGTGCGAGGAGTTGCATTACAACTGTTTAAAAGTTACCTCGAAGATCGTTATCAATATGTACAACTGAATAACCCTATTTCTGCAAAGATAAAATTAAACCAAGGAGTCCCCCAAGGGTCTATACTGGGGCCAGTATGGTTCCTTGCCTATATAAATGATATTGTCAATATACCTCATTCTCATCAACTTATAATGTACGCTGACAATACGAACGTGTTCTTTTCATCAGACAATCTAATATCACTTGAGGTCAGTGTAAATAATTATCTAAGCAATCTTTAAAATTGGTTAAGGCAAAATGGACTGCGCTGAATGCAAAAAAAAAACAACCTATATGATATTCCGACCTATAGACAAACCTATTAGTAGCAAAGCTGTAAAATTCGAAGGAAATTGTCGCACATGTTAGGGAACAAAAGTTTCTAGGTGTATGGTTTTAGGAGGAATTAAACTGGAACACACATGTAAATCATCTGATCAACGCATTAGCACGAATAGTTGGTTGATTTTTTAGAACAATGCACTTAATCTCATTGAGGTTAAAAATAAGTATGTACTATGCACTCTTCCATTCTAAAGTAACCTATGGGATGTTAGTCTGGGGAACGACATCACAAGGGAATTACCATAAGTTAATAACTATACAAAAGAAAATATTGCGCTGCTTTGAAAAACACAGGGGGAATCTACAAGACTTGCGCACTGCTCCACTATTCATCAAACATTCCATACTCAGAATTGATCAATTATATCAATTTAAATTGCTTCAGTTAATACAAAAGACTAAGCTATATGAAGAAAGTTGCACCGAAAGACCACACTAGAGTCTGCGAGAACAAAAGAAACGAGCTCCTAGAACAAGAACCAAGTATGTAAAACAGTGTTGCCTACCAGGTACCTCAGGTTTTGAATACCCTTGCAGATCAATTGAACTTTAGGGCTAGTAGTGCGACTTTCAAGAAAAAAATAAAGAACTGATTCATAACCACCGGTCTACACTATCGAAACTACGTATTGGAGTCTCATGCCTCTGCAAATTCTTAAATTGTTCATAAATTTCTATGTCAATTATACGAGTGTATACAGCGCAATTCATTGTATCCGCATGCATTTTGTGTCTGTTTTTGAGTTGTTTCATTGATATCGTTTAGTTGTGAATTTTTACGAGAGTGACCACTAATTCTTAAAATGTGTTATGTAAACTTCTTATGCTATTTATGTTTGAATTTTGTGTGATTGATTGATTGATTTGTGGGGTTTAACGTCCCAAAACCACCATTTGATTATGAGAGACGCCGTAGTGGAGGGCTCCGGAAATTTTGACCACCTGGGGTTTTTTAACGTGCACCCAAATCTGGGTACACGGGCCTACAACATTTCCGCCTCCATCGGAAATGCAGCCACCGCAGCCGGGAATCGAACCCGCGACCTGCGGGTCAGCAGCCGAGTACATTAGCCACTAGACCACCGCGGCGGGGCTTGAATTTTGTGTGTACAATTGCAGGTTGCTTGAAACCAATGTATTGAATATATATATTTTTTGTTAGTGCTGATGTCTAAGCTTTGCACTGTCACGGACTGCGGAGGGACAAGGGCCTTTGTCAGGCTGTTCGCCTTTAGCCCTTTGACCCTGCAGTGAGCTCTGTATCCGGCTTACTGTAAATAAAAGTACTACTACTACTACTACAAGGAAAGCGTGCTCTATTCAAGCAAGCCGTAAATGACTTCCCGATGATTGTCAATATCTTGGCATGGTTATTCAAGGGTATTGCAGAGAAAAAGAGCAATATTTCGGCTGCTGACCCGCCGGTCGCGGTTTCGTTTCCCGGCTGCGGCGGCTGCATTTCCGATGGAGGCGGAAATGTTGTAGGCCCGTGTGCTCAGATTTGGGCGCACGTTAAAGAACCCCAGGTGGTCGAAATTTCCGGAGCCCTCCACTACGGCTTCTCTCATAATCAAATAGTGGATTTGGGACGTTAAACCCCACAAATCAATCAAAAATAGCAATATTCTGCTTACTGACAACGACAGAGCGAATCACGCAAAAATTATTTGAACCTTCGCACTCATTGGTTGGTATTTCTATTATAAAGAATACACAGTTATTACGCACGTTATCGTAACTTACTTATTGAAGCGACGTTTTGAACCAGAATACTGGAGGGACCTTACGATTCAGTCAGCCATGTTCGTTTTCAGAATTTAATGGTGGATTCCATGGTCACGTATCTTTTTCTTTCAATGTTTCAATTCAATATCCTGTTTATTCTCCTTAGTTGGTAGGACACAAACTTTGTGAATACTCGACGCCTTACATGAAACCAGACCAACAAGAAATTTCGCAAGTTAATTTTTTCTTTAAAAAAACGTAAAACAAGGCTTGGTGGAGCAAGGCATGAGAGAGAACATGGCTGGAGTTATTTTCCCCATGCTTGAAGAAATACAGACCGAGTGCTTTAAGACGCACGACGGAAACATTAAAATAATAATGCAGTACGTGGATAGCGTATTGTCATCTGATTGTCAGTCTTAAATGAGGCTTTCTTCATTGATAGGGGAAGGTGATTCGTTCCTAAGGAGAGATAATGAACAAAGAGGAGATAGGCTTCGGATATACAAAAAGGGCTAAATTATTGTGATTTTCAACCTGAAGACCAAGCAAGAGTATGCTGCAGGAGTAACTTCCTTCAGGCGCATGCAGTTTTGAGTACGTTATCCGACTTCAGCCAGGCTCATTGGTAGAGGTCAAATGTGTAAGCCTTTAAATAGCAGGCTTCAGAGATTGGATGGGATATTGACTTAGTCACAATGGTTTTAATGCGCTTGTGCTGCTAGTTTTATCTTTTTGTATTTTTGAATTTTTATACGACCTGTTTCTCAACTTGCTTTCTAACTTTTTTTACTTCCCCTTTTACATCGTTATAAGCCAGAGTATGCAGATGTGAGCTATTAGCGGGCTTCAAATGGACCCTCTGATTACATATTCTCAGCACGCATATACCACTCAAATTCAAAAAAAGGGGTTGTGAAGGAAGCAGTAAACTGGAGTTATCATTATAAGCCAAGTATTCTATTTCGTCCAACCACTATAACGACAACAGGTATTTAAGATTTTTTATAAGGTCACTATGTCACTATACCATAGTACGAGCAGCAACACACAGCATCTTTAAAACATTGCACAAAATTACTCACTCTTTCACGAGAATGCTCTTCCACATAGCACAAATATTTTGCCTTGGACCTTGGCTTCGGGTAATGTTGTTCGGTACAATGTTTATATACGCCGGGTCGAAAGAGGAGTACCTCGGCCAAGGGACCTTTGATCCGGGTATCATTGGGCGCCTAAAAGAAAAAGAAATACAGAATGCGACATATGTATAAAGCCCTGCATTGTGCATTTTGTCCGTGTCAATTCGCATACAGACAGACATTCTGCATAAAGACAATTAAAGCTGTATATATTCGGAAGATTAAAGGTTGAGTTAACTATAATTTATGAATACCGGGTGTCGCTAGCGTGAAAATTTAAACAACTATACGAACCAAAGTTGCTGCCATGAAGAAGTTAAGATCGCTTGTCGGAACACTAGGTCTAGTGGTAGACCATGTTCAAAAATTTTCGACGCTTTTAAGAGAGTCAGAAACTGTGAAAAAAAATGGCAGCATATCCACGGAGTGAACGATGGAGAGTGGGACGAAGCATTTGTCCGTCCATGCGTCCGTCTGTGTGACCGTCCATGCGTCTGTTTTTGCGCCCGTCCCTGCGTTCTTTCATGCATCCGCCCCTGCGTCCGCTCATGCGTCCATCCATGCATCTGTTTGTGTGTCCATTCGTTCATCTATTCAACACTCCAAGTCCCACCATCTCGCATCTTTTTATCATATATTCCCCATATAGAAGCACCGCCATCCAGCGGACATTCCAAGGACTAAACGAGAGGTGGCACACGCAAGCTTTCTTACGGCCTGCGCTTTGGGTCCACTTCCCACCTTTAACCACCTCGAGTTCATGGTATATTCTAGTTCACTGTATTCATGGCACTGCGACCAAACGCTCGCTAAACCTTTCGAAAACCAAGGAGGTTACGCCCAGCGAGTATAACGTAGCAACCTTTTCCTGTCAGATAGGGCTCAATTTACATGCCAATGGCTGCTAATGAGAAATGAGAGACAGGAGAATTCGGCTTTTACTTTCTTGCGGCTTGCGCTTCGTATCTACTTCTCATTTTTAACCACCTTGAGTTCATTCATGGTATATACAAGTTCATGGTATTCATGGGACTGCGGCTCAACGTTCGCTAAACCTTTCTAAAGCTAAGGAGGTTACACCCAGCGAGTATAATGTAGCATCCCTTTCTTGTCCGATAGTGCTCAATGTACATGCCAATGGCTGCTAATGGGGATCGCAGCGTGCGCGTTCACTAAAAGCCGAATGCTCATGTCTCTCATTCCCCATTAGCAGCCATTGGCATGTACATTGAGCACTATTTTTTATTGTTAAACAACGCACAGTAGAAATCTCTCACTGGCACCACCTTGGAGGTCAAGTGTTATACCTATTTCGGGTATGTGCCACTGGTGGTTACATACGAGGGACGCCCAAGCCACGCCATAAGGAGCTTCGCCCCTAAAAACCAACATGGGTGACTGCTGAAGCATAACGCACAAACAAATATCTGCATCCACTGGCGTTGGAGCATATTCTGCGGAAGATTATGGATTATGATTAAAGTATAATGGAGATATTACAGGCTCTCAGAAAGATACCAGGCATTGAATGAATCTCGGCGCTAGACAATTTTACAAAATATCAAGGAAGTAATTAGGAACTACCATTCTGCAGTGTAAACACGTCCTTGTCGTTTCAGGGGTGACATAATCGAACACTGTAATATTATATTGAACACTGTAATATTATTGTAAGAAAGTCTCAGAATGACTTCGTTCTAAATCGACTTAACTACATGAACTGTATCCCTCTGAACTGCCTGCAACATTTTTCACGTGTGATGTTTTACTATTGATAAACCAGGCCAGCTGCCAGGTCATAAAGTCTTTTATCCTCAAGAACATCTGTGTTAAAAACCATGAGTGAGTCGTAAGCGCTAGAATTAGGGATTCGCCAACACTGGTTGAGGATCAAGGCAAATTTAAATTGACGAAAAATACTAGTGTTAGTGACGTCACACACAGTTCAAGGAAAGGGCTGTATATAATCAGAACAGAATAATTAAAAAAAACTTACCCTGTCTTTACAAACTGTGACACAGAAGTGACCATTGCTTTCATAAACTGCTCCTCTGCGGCGGTGTACTTCAGCTGCTTAAGCAGATCGTAATCCTGTTGTCGAATTCCAGGAATGAACTTGTCTTCATCTCTGAGGAACACAATGGATCCCAGGTCAAATGCGAGGTCGTCTTCATGAGATGCCTGAAACCATGCTGGCCAGGGGCTGAATGACGGTCTATAGTCGAACACGTATCTAAAGACAGCTATCTTCTGCTCTGACGCCTCATCTGCGAAGAATGTGGCAGGGCATACGAACAAACCGTCTCCCAAAATCTCACTTAGAATAGTAATCACGTCTTTTGTGTCGTGGCCGAGAGATGATTCCGAAAAGTAGAATTTAGTGATCTCTGTCACATCTTCATCTGATAGTTTAAAAGCAGTTTGAATAGCCTTTTGAACGGCAAATCGATAGTCAAGGATAAGTAGGTCTTTGAATCGGGGCACCGCTTTCATTACGTTGTAGAGGAACAAGGCGCCTTCGTTGGCCGTAGTACCGATCATGATTTCCTTGCTCCTGATGTTGTTCTTCCAAGTGCTGATCATATAAGGATCATCCGGCAGATATTCATCCCCATAGACTGGTCCGTATGTAGAGTTCTTTACATAGAGATCTTTAACTTGCTCAAGCAACTGGGATTCATTTACACCTCTCAAGCATTTCAAAACCGCACCAATTTCCCGCTCTTTCGCCGCATCGCACGTAAGATTCGCACCGAGTTCCCTAATGCTATCCACTGAGCGAGAAGAAAATTTTGACACAATATTCATGGGACTGCCACTCAGCAGAACAAGCCTCTTAAACAGTCCAACACTATGCGGGGATATGGCATGAAAACCAGCAGAGATAGCTCCAGCACCGTGTCCCATAAGAGTAACTTCTTTGGGGTCTCCGCCGAAGTAGCCAATGTTGCGTTGTACCCAGGTAAGTGCAAGCTGCTGGTCCCACAGCCCCCAGTTTCCAGGCAGATCTTCGTTTCCAACAGAGAGAAAGCCGAACACGTTGAGGCGGTAATTGAAGCTCACAAATATGGTATCAGTCATTGCTGCGAAGTTTCCGCCATCGGGAAAGTAGGGGCTCGAGTCCCCCCATTGAAAATTTGTACCATGAACGAATACCACTACTGGAAGCTTCTTGATGTCACAGGAGTCATCCTGGCACACCGACACTGGCTTACGGACGTTGAGGTGAAGACAGTCTTCCGAATAATTAGTATAGTAGAAGCTAACATCGTCCGTGTAGTAATGTGCAGTCTGTGGACACGGCTTCGGCTTGTTTACGGCGGCGTATGTTCCATTCCACGGCTTGGCAAGTACGGGTTTCCCGAAGCGAAGGGGGCCTGTCGGTGACTGTGCGTACGGTATGCCGAGGTATACGTCGACGGCCTTACCTCCAATTGACATGCGCACTCCTGAAACGAGGCCCGTGGCAGTCTTGATGACGGGTGCCTGGCCATCTTCGGCAGCGACCACGAATATCAGTAATGCGGCAGCGAGAAGCAACAAGGCGTGAAAAGCGGCCATGTGGCCGCACCGGAAAACAGTCTCTATCGGACTTCCCCTCACTATTAGGCGAGTTCGAAGTAGGTATGAGTTCGCTCTCATTCATCGATTTCTTCGAAGCGTGGTCCCAGGGCATCGGAAGCCCTGCCAGAAGCCAGGTTTTCTGTATCGCGGCGATCTAAGCGTTCAAGGATGCCTTATGAAAGTAGGTCCCATTACTCCGCCGCTGCAGTGCGATGGAAGCCTGCCAGGAGACGCTTTCTTTTCACGCGTGCCGTCGTTTTGTAAATTCGTAGTGTTTTTTTTCTTCTGAATCAAAATATCTTTTGAACGAAAATAATGAACCACAGCAATTTGTCGCAAACCAAAACATCTGAATGAATCCGAATTTTCAGGAGACATAATTAGGGCTTGGGTTAAAGTTTTTTTTATATATTCTGTTATGTTTGTCTGCAGCCCCGTGTACAAGGTGACAACCACTGATGGTAGGCCGCCAGTCTGCAGGAAAAAAAATAACACAGTTAACGTTGTCTTGTACAGTCATCAGCGAGAATAACACGAACGCTGCAATGCGTGGCCCCTACTTTGAGTGATGGCAGTCGCGGAGCGCTGCAAGCTGTTGCCTCTTCGATAGTATGTCGGCATGCATGGACAACAACTCGGCAACAGAATGCATATAGCTTCACGGCGCAAGAGTCAATCAAACTGTTTCAGGACACGCAGTGGGGCGTTCGTGTTAAGCTTGATGAGGACTGTTCTTTATCAGCTTTTACAGGGCGTTCTAGTTTTGTCGGAATCACTGAATATAACATATCAGATGGCTGTTTGCCAAGTTTATCAAGAAAGAAACTTTGAAAAACTTGAAACTTGGAATATCTCATTTTCGCCTAGCATAATCACATTGTGGCTTTGATGTTTGGTAATCATTTTCGAGGTATACAGAATGACAAGCATGATATTTTTCAAATTAGTTCATTGCACAATCTCTCTGTGCGTACGTACGTGAGTGCGTACACACTTTTGTGTGTGTGTGGGGGGGGGGTATGGGTGAGTGCATGGGTGCGTGTGTTCGTGCATGTTTGTGTATAGAAAATGCGCGTGTGTGTTGTGTGTTTGTGCGTGCGTGTGCGTGCGTGCGTGCGCGTGAATGTGCGTGTGCGCGTGTGTGCATGTGTGTGTGTGTGTGTGTGTGTGCGTGTGTGTGTGCTTTAATGTGCGTGTTTCGTTTGTTGGATGAGCGGGTGAATGCCTGCTTGCGCATGTGTACGTGAAGAAAAATTAGTAAGAGGAGGCGTGCACGCGTGTCTGTGTGTGGGGAGGGAATATACATGCGTGCATGCTAGTAAAAACTACGTAAAATGCTGAAGATTCATTTTCCTGCATTTTACTTTGTCACATTCGCGGCATAGAGTCTCATACGAAAATACCCAGAGTGGAATCTGGCACTAGTGTCTACGTGGGCTCCTTCCCACATGGGAATAATGGGAAGTACAGGCTTTGGATCTGCTTCGGATAGATAACGCTCTTGAGACTCGCGACGCTTATTTTCCGAGTGAGGAACAAAATGTTATGAAGTTATATTAAATTGAAACTTGCTCCATTCTTTCGTACGCAAACTTTACTGCAAGAAGTTTTTGTGATCATGTCGTAGATGTGAAACATGGACAAATTTAACCATCAGGGTATACATCGCTTTGCTATAGCGTTCCAGATTTGGTACGAAGATTTAATGAATTATTTTTACAACACTTTAAAAGAAACGTGCTTATTTTTCTCTGAAAAGCACGCATTATCTATTTATGCCAGTAACTGTACAGTATCTAGTGAAAAATACTTATCGTTTCATCTTCTGCGACGCTAGGTGTGTCTGTCCCAGTGGTCTGCCCCCAACGCACCTCCGGATTCGTTGTAAAGTCGAGTCAGCTGAGCGGGATGGTGCGTCTACTTAGCTTCGTCATCGCTTTGCAGTCAATTCAAAACGAGTTTAGACAAGACGCGCTCGCGAAAAACATGAACGTGAGGCAAGACCCTGCACTGGCATGAAACGCTAAATCTAGGCGCAGCGGTGCATGAGTACACGACACTTCGTTTAAACTGTTAAATGCGATTCGTAAAGCTCCAACGTCACAGCAAATCAGGAGATTCAGTGGTTCTCAGTTTCTCTGAGCAACAAAGGCACTGCTTCAGCCAGTTATACCACACCCCACTACCCGCACTTTTCGAAGAACAAAACTGAAACTGTAGCAAAAGGTTTGTAGATACGTCACAAGCTAACCCTATCCAATCCGAAGCCCGTACTTCCCATAATTCCCATGGGGGTACACGATCGCAGCGCCAGACTCCTCTCTAGGTATTATTGTATGAACCTCTATGCGTTCGCGGCGTTACTTCTCGCGAGCCCAACCATTTATAGGCACCCGACAGTGGACCAGAGGGCGCGACAAAGCTCTTTGGGCCGCATCAGCATTGTTGGTACCGACCACCAGGGATACTAAAAAATGGAACGCTCGCTGAACACAGAGACACGCTGAAGTGTCAGTGCCCTTTTTGGCACGTTTTCAAAGAATGCTTCTTGGGCGCTTACATAATCAGCCGTGACCGCCTTGCTCACACCTGAAAAAGAAAATGATATGCACGTGCAAGTTCGGTTTTGCTGCGTCTACTCGCTAGGCTACGCATTGGAAGACTCGGTTTTGCTGAGCCTACTCGCTAGGCTGTGTGTTCTGGCGCTACCCTCATATCTCGTAAAGTGCATTGCCGGGTGCCTATACATGACTGTTTCGAGGGTGCACTTGAGTGGTGTGACTGTTAAAGCTCTTTTTTAAGGCATATAAGAAGTTCTTGTCAGGAGAGCAAAGTGCTTACTGGCGTGGGTTGCTTATGAAGGCCTCAGTTCCACGTGTTGTTTTTGCATATTTCTTGTGGACCTAATAATAGGTACACATTCAGCAGGCTGATTGTAACCACATCGCATACAAACATTTATTAATAATTCACAAATATTATAGAAACTAAGAATTAGACGGTACAACCGCGATGTGCATAGAAAGCACAAACACGGCGCTTGCCAAAGTGAGGCAGTGGCCGACATACGAGGTTTCCGTGGCACCCGATACATGCGTTGAGGGTGGTTGCTCCGTCTTCTTCCCGACGGCTGATGTAGTCTTTTTTGACGTCTTAGAAGAAGTTGGTTTTCTTGGGGCGTCCTGCGTACTAGTTCCAGGTTCTCTGAAAAAAAAAAACAAAAAAAAACAATAGTGTGTTGTTATCCTTAAATACAAAGTGAGCCAAACAAAAAAAACAAATACAGGCGTCAATGATAAAATTATGAACCGTGGATTCACTTGGCGTCTGGTATCGTTCGAGGTGGTGGTGGTGGTGTAACTCTACAGTGAAGCCTAAGCAGGTGGCTTGCTTGTCTGAGCCCCGACCGCGCAGGGGGAATCTTGAAGACACTGTTTGTTTCTTCTCTGCTGGGCTCGCTGAATAGCCCACATGTGGTGCTGTATATATAAACTGTGAAGCGTGGTCCACCACCGTAAGCAGAGGACTCTGAGAGAGGTGGCTTATGAGCTTTTGAGTTCGACGTACTTCCATTGCATGGGCTTGAAAGTGACTCTTCCCATCCGTCGTATTACACAGGCGTCGTTCGCGTGTATCTTTGAGTTCAACTGTTTCTCTTGTGCTAGGTTAGAACGTCTGGTGAGTTCTTGCTTGGGAGTCAATGAGCCGTTTATTGACATAAAACATTTCTATTTTTACATTAAGCAATTGCCACTTAGAGCTCTGTTTTTTATATTTACTGTAATTGTAAAGAAGGATAGTTTGTCTTTTTTATTTTTTCATAATTGAAGCCTTTTGGGGTCTGACAAGGAAGCCAGAAGATCCTCGATGGAATAATAATAATAATAATAATAATATTAATAATATAATAATAATAATAATAATAATAATAATAATACCGGAGGTATCACGTGATTGAGGGGAACCAAAACATTTTCGCGAACGAACGGTACTTGTTTAGGTGTTTGATAAATTGAAGAACTCGTTTTCTGTAAAGACAGCATTGTGGCTAGTAGAAGGCGTAAGCTTCGAACATTTGTATAAAATGTGTACGCTGAGGTTACCTGAAAACTTTGACATATTATAATATTACTTATTTCATATTAGGTCACAAAAACGATTCTATGATGAGAGACACTTCAATGGAGAGCTTAAAAACTCAGACCACGGAGAGTTGTTTAACTTGAATCCAAACCTAAGTGCATGGGCCCCTAGCAATACACATCCATTGAAATGCGTCTGCCGTGGCTGGGATTCAATCTCGTGACTTTATGGTCAATATTGGAGCCAAATAATTGTTAGACCTCCATGACGGGTGATTGAAAAATTTAATACATTATAGCCGCGGGTACACTGTTTCAGTAGAAAACAGAGGAATTAATTAGAGGAAAAACAACGGGAATACAGTTCAGTTCACCCTGGTAAGCCACCTTTCACTGATGATAAAGAAACTGAAAAATTATAATTTTGCAGTAAATGCCTGCAAATGAACATATACTTCTTGCGCTATATTAATTTTTTACTCTAGACACTCTTTTTTATTAAAGTCATTTTCTTTATCTGTACTTTGTTTCACAGTTATACACAATCTGAACACTGACCACTGATTTATTAAAAGGTAATCAATAATGCGCTGGGCACATGTTATATATAAACCCTGAAATATATATATATATATATATATATATATATATATATATATATATATATATATATATATATATATATATATATATATATATATATATATATATGACTTACTTTTTCATCAGTACACGCCTCCAGACCTTACAGATCTCAGTGTTTGGTCCACGTTGCCTCGTTGTGTTGCCAGGTCGGATGTTTATGTACTCCGGGTTCGCAGACGAGTATCTCGGCCACTCTTTCTTTGTTTCTGGTATTGTAGGCTTTCTAAAAGCAAATTTCCAGATTTATGAGCAATGTATTTACCATGGACATATAGGCAGATGAGTTATTGCCCTGCGATTATCGCTAAGTGAAGTAGCTGTTACTCTAAATGTTTCCATTAGCTATGGTGATGCCACACAACCTTCGCTGAAAAGTATAGTACATATATGTCAAAAATTGCCAAAAAACACTTTAAGAAAATGTTTTAACACAATGTCCGAGTGAAGGTAGCACTTTAGTTAACTTCCTTGTTCCGTTACAGAATATTTGTAGGCATAATTCAATCAATACGAAAAGCTTCATGTCTTATCCGTGAACGCACCTTTTGAGGGAAGTCTTGTGTATTGAAAAAAGTCTGAATAATACCCAGATAGTTATGAAACATCTGCATCAATCATCTAAAAGAAAGTTTAAAGCTTTAAAAAGAACGCCTTAGCAGTTACTCCTCAGATTCACTGTAAACCAAGCCGAAGAGCTCTTAATCATAATTTTATACCGTCGATATTGTGCAAGACTTCCATATACAATGGTAACGTTATAGTACACTTACCCTGTTTTGACAAAATCCGACATTGATGCCACCACCGCCTTCATAAATTCCTTCTCTGCACTGGTGTATCTGAGTTGTCTGAACAAATCGTAGTCCTCCTTGCCGATTCCTGGCTCGAATCTGCTCTCATCTCCGTAAAACAATATTGAGCCCAGAGTGAAAGGGAGATCGTCGCCGTGAGCAACCTCAAACCAGTCGGGCCAGAAGCTAAACGAGGGTCGATAGTCGAACGTATACCTATATACCGGAATTCTTTGCTCGGATGCAAAGTCTGCGAAGAAAGTAGCTGGGCACACGAAGAGGCCGTCTCCCAGCATTTCTCCGAGGACTCGAAGGATTTCGTCTTCGGTGAGCTCTCCCTTCAGGTTGGCGAAGTATGCACTGGTAATTTCTTTCGCAGCTCGAATGGGAATTCCCAGAGTCGTGCTAATCGCAATCGTGATGGTCGATCTATACTCTTGCGAGAGGAGACTCCTGAGATGTGGAACTAGTTTCATGGCACCATAAAGAAACATTGCACCCTCGTTGGACGTAGTTCCAATAATGATCTCTGTGCTTCTAATCTTCTTCTTCCAACTACTCAGCAGAAGCGGGTCGTCTGGAACGTATTCGTCTCCGTATATCGGTCCATACAGGCTCTTACGTAGATCGAGACCACTCAATTGCCCTAGCAACAAGTTCTTGTCCCGGTGCCTCAGACAGTCCATGACTACATGCAGTTTCCGTTCTCGCACCCCTTCGCACGCCAAATCTGCACCAAGTTCCATGACGCTTCCAACAGAACGGGCCGAGAGGCTGGCGATGGCGTTCATGGGGCTGCCGCTTTGCAGAATCATCCTCTTAAAGAGACCTACACTCTCCGGAGAGACAGCGTGGAATCCAGCAGAAATGCCACCGGCACTATGACCCATTATAGTGACTTCCGATGGATCACCGCCGAAGTTTTCAATGTTCCTCTGGATCCACTTCAGCACAAGATTCTGATCCCAGAGGCCCCAGTTTCCGGCGACTTCCTCGTTTCCCGCGGAAAGAAATCCGAACACGTTCAGGCGATAATTGAAGTTAACCATGATTGTGTTCGTTAGAGCAGCGAAGTTTCCACCGTCGTGCATAAAAAGACCAGAGTCACTCCACTGAAAGCAACCACCGTGCATAAAGACAACCACCGGAAGCTTGGAGTTACAGACGTTCTGCTCACAATCAGATGCCGGCTTCCGGACGTTAAGATAGAGGCAGTCTTCCGAATTTTTGGTGTAGTGGAAGCTCACCTCATCCGTAAGGTAGTGAACAGTTTGCGGGCACGGAGGAGGTCTCTTGATGGCTTGGAGCGTTCCGTTCCACGGCTTCTTTGGGTTGGGTTTGCTGAAGCGTAGAAGATCCGTGGGAGGTTCGCCGTATGGAATGCCCAAATACATGTCGACTTCTCTGCCATCGATGGTTTCACGTACACCAGAAACAAGGCCGGAGTCGGTGCGGATAGCGGGAGACTCGCGAATCGCGGCGTCGACGAACCGAACTGTCCACACGAGCAGTACACACTTCGAGAAGGACACACGGATGGCAGGCATGTTTGCTGACCGGCGAACTTGCGCTGACAGCGTCCATACGTATATTGAGCCGTGCTCGGCAGCCCCTTTCTGCAGACTCAATTTCCATTCTTACTACTAGTATGTGTCCTCCAAGTGTATCAGTGTCGAACTTTTCTTCGCGCAAGCCAACTTCCTATCGCGTATATCAGAGTGGCTAAATGCGCCATTAGAGTAAGGTCAAAGGTATTTTGGTTCAGGTCAGGCGTGGCAGACATGATGGCTCATGGGTTTGCGTGCCAAGATTTTCCACCGTTGGGCTGTGCAACGCGAAGCAAAGTAAATTATAAGAAACTCTCTGATATATTAAACAAATGCCCATAAAAGAATATACTAGAAGTACTGCTATTGGGCTTGAGTATTCCCATGGTCCTTGGGGGTTGTAATAATTCACACAAAAAAGCTCATTTGATTCAATGCTTCAGCTAGCGAAATAAGAGCATCTGTTGTTCTGAATGAAATAAATCCCAACTAATAAAAATCACATACAGTGGACACATCTACATCAGCCACATTTAAATAAACCCATCATGCCTAATTAAAAACCTAGTTAGCATCAATAAACCTCCAATATACTCACTAACACCGTGAAAGTAAATTTCCATAGTTGTTCCAATGAGCAGAGAGTTACCTTTTAATTGTGTGACATTATTTCGTGAAAGTTGGAGCTAATGAATCATGCTCGTACTTCTCGTACTTAGCTGAAACCCGCTTCAATGATCAATGTATTGCCTGATGAAAGACACACAGGGTTTTTTTACGCACTCTAAGAAGGAAATAATTTTTTCATTGTTTCTATGAGTCCTAGTATAACGTAAATATGACTCTTTTAAATACATGGCCCAACACTCCTTACATGTCGTTGCGCTGTAGTCGAAGAGTCGTGAAACACAAAAGAGCGTTAACATGCCGCTTTAAAGAGAGCCGTATACGAGGCTAGCCAAGCCTCTACGGCAGAGTAAAAGACGCTCACTTGTAAGTGTTAAAAGTTAGCATCTTTTTTTTTCATCCTGTGCTCCACCTTTCTAATCAAACGTACCCTCCCCAAGGCAAGATGCCGAACCAGCTAGCCCAAATAACGATTTCTGAGTAACATCAGGTTTTCTTTTTCTTCCCACATTGGAGCTGCTCATTCTTTAACCGATTGCAAATACAGCCTTCTTCAAGAACTTTTTACATTGACTTGGAGTATAGATGCCTGTTTTTAATAGTTCGTGAATACAGCCTTCATCGAGGAATTGCCGCAACAACCTATTACTGCGTAGTAGTAATCCAGCCTGACCGCAGCAGATATGACTCGCCTCTATTTCATTACTGAACCCGGAGGTGTATTTAGGTCAGACCGTCGTATGTGACGGCGGGTTACGTATCATTGATCTGTTTCCGCTATCCGGTAACGATCTTCAGAGACCTCGATCACATCTGTCGAAAGAAACGAGGTCGTTTAGAGCTGCCAAGGCCGAGCGTAGTGAGGGGCTTTGCCACGCACGTGCGCTTGTTTAAAGGTGAAGGGCTTTGGGATAAATGCAGTGCTACCGTGAATCTTTAAAACGGGCACGTGCTTTTTCAAGTTCTGTATTTAGGTACGCATGCACGTTCACTTGCTTTGGAAACGTCTATTTTCACAACCTGCGCACGCCTAAAGCAAACTGATCAGCAAGTACCTTCTTAGCCCTTACCTGTAATAACCCTTTCAGTAACGCGGTGTACAAATGTACACGCCAAATTACACGGCACGTCACGCACCACGTGTTTCATCAAATAGCTTGAACGTTAGCTTACACATTTGTGTTGGCCTTCCGAGTGAAAAACTGGCCATTATATAACTTCATTATGCTGCATATTTCTGCAAGGGATCACTTCGAAGGATGAACTAGTTATGTTCGTCGATTGTTCGATGTGCCGCGTTCTAGAACCAACGTGAAGCTTGTTTTTTTTTTCGCTCTGAACAAATCCAATAAAAAAAACTACGCTAGCATTTCGAGTCTAATAGTGAATTCGTTTTGCAAGTACTAAAAGTAGCGAAATATTTGGAGAATTAGTGACACACTCAATAACATTATTTTCTAAAACTCACTCAACGCAGCGCTTTTCTTGATTTTGTTTTATTTAAAATACAATGATGTAGCCTAGTCAGGCACCTTTGGGGCCTCTGGCTGTGTCTCTTAAGACAATTGTAATTTCTTTTGAATAAAGTTTGAATGAATGAATTAATTAACTAATGAATGAATTAATGAATGAATGAATGAACAATAAATACTAGGTGCCTCGGAAACATGCCACGATAATTCGACGCCTTTCTGACAGCGCATCATAATTTGTGACTGAAGGGGATAAAATACCAAGGCAAGTGTGCGCCGATATTTGGGCTCGTGGTATCAGTTAGGTGTATTTCGAGATTGGTGACTGGCAATGCAGGCACAAATGAGCAAAGGTGCATGGCCAACTTTCAGCCTGTCTTTTTAAGTGATGATTCAGTTTATTGACATTTATTTTCGCTTACTTCAGCTTCCTTGGTAATTTGCTGAAGTCGGTATACTATACGCAACGCGTGACAATAACGACGATACAGAAGCTCACAAGCCCCTCACGGTAAGACGTTCAGTGTCTAGTTGGGGAGGAAAAATAAGGTTATTAGGGTAGCTTACAACGGAGGTGCAATGCTAACGATAGAGCGGAGATGATGGGCACCTGAGCAGTCCTAGCTTTTACTGTTTTGACAAGTTTAGCCAATTGTTTGTTTCTTTTTTCTTCTATTCCAGCTTCTGTCTTCTGCTATGTATTTTCTATTCTGTTTATTTTCATTGATTGCTTTATTTATATTTAACACGACTATATATTTCTCTTTCTTCACCTTTATTCAGCTTCTCTCTCTCTCTCTTTCTATTTCTCGCTTGCTTTCTACATTTGCGTAAAAATTTCTCTCTCACTGTATTTTACTTTGTTTCTTTGTTTCTTGCTTCCTTGCTTTGTTTCATTCTGTTTTTCTGTCTATTTTTCACCTATTTTTGCTTTTCCACCTTTCTATTTCAGCAATTCTGCCTCTCTTTTCATTCTTCCAGAGCCACTTTTTACTCTTTTTCCTCTTATCCTCTCCTCGTTCTCTTCACCATAACATCTCTCCTTCTCAGGCTGACTTCACGTTCCAATTTCTTTGATACTCTATACTACCAAAGCCTACGATTTGTTCTCCTAGCGTGCCTAGGCAACCGACTGGTACGGACGCTTGCCTATAAATAGAGGTAGCGAAAGTTTGAATGCCACTTTGTGACGACTTTTTTTTTCCCTGGAAAATTTCTCTCTCTTTCTTCATAGGTTGTCTTTTTCTTCTCTCTGTATCTCTGTGCCCTCATTCTTCTAACTATTGGGGTTACTACAGGCCACGCCATAAATATTCGTGCACTTGTCCGGAGAGTGACGCAGAAGAGGACGAAGATGAAGACAATGTAGAGAGCACGTGCTTGTTCATGATGATGATGGTTTCTGATTCCGAATGACGAATTACGGCGAGCTTCAACAGCTTCACTGATTTAAAGAATTGCGTTTGAAGGTGTCAGTTTTAGTTTGAAATGCTACAACACTTAGCTTCTGAGAGCTCCGAGTACGAGAAGAATGAGTGAACTTAAAACATTTGTATGAAAAATTGAGCCGCCTCGAGCTACTTAGACAGTGCTGAAACTTTACGCATTGCAAGTGTAACAGAAGAGTTCAAATTATCTGCGATGACTTTGGAATATAGAACGAATGGCTTTAGAATGCGCAGACCCAATCCCGTGAATTTACTTTTATTTATTGCTAAGCGTTTCTTAGCAAACTTTGGCGACGTTGAGTGTATATATCGATCTATCTATCTATCGAGCTGCTTACGTTCGGATGCTATCGTGGTCACCCCCTAAACTTGGCGTGATCCAAAATTAGCATGGGAGGGTAAGGTGGTTTGGCGAATATGAAGTTCTGGTCAAGACATGAATAATGTCACAATCTCGTCGCGTACGTCGACAAACACTTCCCGCCAGACAGGGGCATATACTGACGGGTGGGTATGTGCTGCTGGTATGCGGGCATGTGCCACGGGTGTGTTGACACTTAGTATCTACCCAGGAACATATAAAACACATATGGGCAATTTTAATGCTCGAGCGTTAACAAATACCCGAAATCACATCGGTAGCATCGACTCGACAAATGCAAAGAATAAACGTCAGGGTACCAGCTAGACTCGTATCCAAGCATTCTGCATGGCAATGAAGCATTTTACCACAGAGCTATGCCAGGTCTCGGAACTACATTTCAAATAGACGCTAATCTTAGTGAAACGTCGATAGTGGTTGCAGTGCTGCATATCCAGTTTTATAAACATCACATATGTATTCCTTTTACACAGCCGTCACGTCGAATAACGTCAATTGTGGTTAGTTGCCATGCGCTGAATTTGATTTATGTAGCTGAGCCAAGGGCCAGCATCCTCGCGAGCGTCGCCTCTTCATATCTCTTTCTGATGTTGCTAATACGCATGCTCGAGTTGGCATCGTTGTGCAAGTGCAAGCAAGTGGTTATATAAACATCTGCAACTCATCTACATATCTCTGTGCGTGCAACATTTGTACACATATTTAGCGTCATTTCATAATGTATCGCTTAATAAAAATATGCAACATGGTGACCTTCTTTCCGTATGCTTCGCATAACGACGATTCTCAGGTACATGTGATCTGCCTAATTTTTTAGGAGTTGCACACTATGAACAGGTATTGAAGAATGGCCTGGTTACATGCCTTATTAATAAGCCTGTATTTACTGTCTTGGGAAGCAAAACAAGCAGTCCATTGAAAATAGCGGACAATTGAATATCATAGTATTAACCACTGTACGATGACCTCAAGTCAAAACTATCTTCATTACACTCCTTCTGCATCCTGAAGAGAGAAGTTTGATATTAATGTTTAGAGCTTTATGTCCCAAAAGAGGGATATTATTATTATGAGTGTCATTGTGGAAGGCTCCAGAATCTTTGACTACCTGGTGTTCTGACATCGCGCAAACGTGAGT